TTTTTTTTTTTTTTTTTTTTTTTTTACATTCGCACTTTGTTCTCTTAAGAAGCTTTGCATATAAACGCATACGCGTCTTGTCAAATACATAATATGTATATGCATTAATTTTATTTGACGTACTATAAACACACTTTCATCGTTCATCAAATTCATCAATCTATACTTTATAGCCCAACAGTATATAACACTCACTTCATCCAATACATACTTGCATAGATTTTTAGCCAAAAATTAATCGAAATGCTATTTACAAGCATTTACAGGCTGAACCGGTGCACAAAACATCACCGAAAAGCGGAAATTAAAACAGGGAAGTTTCCCAATTTCTAAATCTTTGCACATCTGTATCATAGTTGATCGGAAATTGTCCGGACAATTTTACTTCTATTACATTTGTAAATTAGCAGTTTGAGCATTAAATGTACGACTATTTTAATAAAATATATTTTCGTTTAAATAAACAAAATACTCTGTGTATAATTGTCGAAAATAAATCTTTTTATCTGTATACTATCATAATATTGTGTAAACATAATGAACAGTTAAGACATACATTTATTTAAATAAACGTGTTCTATGAATGATAATTCTACGAGAGGCACAAAAAACATATAATTAACAATATATATACATAAGTCAGTTGTCATATAATACGATCTAATAAAAAGTGTCAATATATTCGTAGAATAAGAACGATTGGACACCATGCGTTATTAAAATACGCGTAATTCCAATAAAAAATTAAAATAATTCTTGAATAATTTTTTTTTTGAAAAGCTTAAATATATAAAGATAACAAAAAAAGTACAATTATCTTAAATAACTCTGTAATACGGTTCTAATTTGTTGTCAGTTTTTAATGTATCTCTTTATCTTTTTTTTTAACTAATGATGACTTTGTTAAAAGTCTATTATATGTATAAAAATTAAGATCGTATCTACTATAAAAGAAATGAAAAAGATCAGACTATAAAATAGAACAAAATGTTTCATGAATTCAGTTGAAATGAAAAGACTTTGATCTCTATTTTACACGGTGTAATATAATAATGTTATTTGTTTTACGGTATTATCTTACTGTCACGGAAGTTGAGCAATCTAATATTGAGCAGTTGTATAGTCAACTAACTTATTTCGCAAGGTGAAAAACAGTGAATTGACTAAACAGTGATAGAACATAAATATGATTTGAAATGATATATTAGCAAATATTGATATAACATTATGCAATATTATACACAATGTTGTATCAGAGTCTTGTCTATTACTTGCGCATTAATGTAAACGCATTATAAAGTAGTAATGATAGGAACTGTGAACATAATTGCGAACAAGTTAGATTAAAGACTGAATGAAAGCAACATATAGGATATTAATTAAAGTCGTTACATCATAATAAGAAACCTCGTAATGGGGATTTTATTTTACTTTAGAGATTTTTTTATTAGATATATACCGCAAAAATTTATCCGTAACAAAAGAATCGTAGATAACAAAAGTATTGGATTGCAAAACGTGGCTCAAAATATTCCCTAATATAAAATCAATGCGTTTTTCAAATTCTACGTGAGGTATTGATGTAATGAGTTCGAAATACGAAGGACGTGATATCGATTGCAAAAGGAATTGAGTCGCTGTACAATGCTCATATATATTTGCTAAAGTGCTATTAAATATCAACTAATCAATAGCGTCTCAAAATTGCATTCGCGCTAAAATCGTCTGCTTCATGTACACAGAATAAATACAAATAAATTACAGATCGAGATGGAGTAGTCCTATGTCAGTGTTTCTCGACGTTGAGGATGAATAGAGCTATACTTCAGTCTAAAATCATCGGAGGACTTAATTATTCACGTGTCG